ATTTATAAATATATATATATATATATATATATATATATATATATATATAATAATAATATCAGAGTTAGAATGTTACCTTAAAAAAAGAATGCGTTACCGTTACTTGAACGAATTATTATTTTTTCGTTACTTTAAATATTGAAACTTCATTTTGGAATATAATAAAATGTAGTATAATTTATAATTACCGAAACTTGCATAAACAGAAATCGTTCGGTCACTAGTGACCCGATCTTGTAGAGTAATAGCTAAATTAAATATTACAGTTACAAATAACGCGTTACTTCCCAACTCTGTATAATATACACACCTAAACTAATTGTTACACGTGCATAAAATATTCCTAGGAATAGGCATATTCAGGAGGAGTGCAAGAGGGAGGTTTAGGGAATTTAAATCCCCCCTCCCGAAATATTTTATTTATTTTTAATTACGAAGAAATACAATTCTTTTTTACTCTGAGTAATTCTTTTATTGTCATATAAAATAACTTTTTCTCTTATGACTATGTGAATAATTTCTCGAATTTCCGTTAGAAATTGTCCTTTGACACTTGACGCACTGTCCGATATACTCGTACAAAGAAAGACACTTTGCAAGATTTCTGAGCCGGAAAACAGAATATGCGCCGAGATATTAATGAGTACTCCATCCATAATAACTACATATTTTGTTTATAATAACTATATTTTGTCTATATTTTTTTTTTCAGGAAAAAAAAAGTTATCATTTTACAAACCTAATATTTTTTTTCAAAATCAGGAACAGAAAGAAGATATTCCAAGCTCTAGAATATATAGAGAAAAAGCAATTCATTAACGCGAAAAATTACTATATATGACAACACAGAATAAGTTGATAAAAATTATTTTTCCGAAAAAATCCTGTATATATGTGTGTGTGTGTGTGTGCGCGCGCGCGCGCCAATGCTCACTATATAGGCATTATCACGATATTGACGTTTTCTTTGTGTGATATAGTAGAGACTCTCGATTTAATTCAATTTAATTTTTTAGGTTTCTTCCTTCTCGAAAATATGCCGAAGTCTCGTTAAGGGAAATACCACCATCGCTCGACATTACGCTGGAAAAAACCTGCAAGTGATCACGATCGCAGTTTTGTGATTATTTATGTCAGCGATAATGCAAGCTATAGTACGCTCAATCCGAGAAATTTTCCGTAAGTGAACGATATCTTGATTATAGATTCTAGAAGAATTTCCATCAGTCATACATGTATATCACCAATGATATTTCCAATTTCCAAGTCATCTGACCGGGTCACGACAACGGACAAAGCAAAGGGGTGCGTGCAGTAGGTCTCTTATTGATTAATAGACGCATGCGCCAACTATCCTACCACACATGGCACACATGTTAGATCGCGGTTGTTTTCGATTTCTCATTGTCTGTATTGTTAGCAACGTCTGTTGCGAGGTATCGGTGTTGCGAGTTTTGTGACCGTGACTTCTCTTATATAAAATATTTTTAACCAGCAAAAGAATATCAAGAGAAGATGCGAGACACGTAATCGTATTCCGGAACAATCATCGTTAAATTCCGCGCAACATTGGGAAAGAACATCGAATTTTTAGCTGCTCGATTGCTATTTTGATAATAAAATTTGTCAATGTTGTTAGGTCCATGGTCCAAGTTAAGAAAGGAAGGATATTGAGAAAGGCGATATATGTAAATGTAAATATAAAACGTTTGTAATTAATAAACGTACGCTCCAGTGCGATCGCGATCTGCATATACGTGGACGTTGAAGATCAAGTTACGTCCCTGAAGATGTGTTGATCGGGGGTTGCTCGCTCGGGGGATGACGGGGATGACGGGGATGGGTCCGCGTGTCCTCCGCGCAAATATAGGATGGCCGCGCCTACACGTGGACCGAGCACCGTTGCGACTCGCGACGAATACCGAGCGTCCACTCCAATCCGATCACGCAACGTTCAACAAGTACGCGTGCCGATACATCTCGCGGCGTATCATTCCAGTGCAGAGTTAATTCTCGCGTCTCACGGTCGTTACAAGCGGATAACATTTCCTCGTGTAACATCGTCGCGAGTAGCAGTGCCTACCTTCGAACGATGGACCAGATGGACCAGATGGACCAGATGGACCACCATCGGCACCATCAGGAACGTGATCGACGTACACGATTCGTACGACGTACGTGAAAGATTACTACGCGACAAATGAAATAAGTGCTACAACAAGAGAGTTTCATCGTATACGTATCCACAAGATCAGTATCCAAGATCCAATATCTCTTTCAGAGCATCAGAGCAAGAGATTTGTGACACAGACGTCGCGCGGTAGACCATTATATGGATTCTAATTAACTGCGTCTGTCTGAATATTCGAAATAAGGAGCGGTCACTAAGCGGTCGTCGTATGGAAGGATAATTCTCTTATTCTTTTCGCACATTTTTTGACTTATTGCACAATGTTCGACACTCAAAACTGAATAATCTAAAACTAAATAATCACTATTCACTATGAACTTTTACATGCTGGATCACGTACGATCATCTACAGAGTCTTACATTTCTGCAGTACAAATGCATCAAACGTTTCACATAATTTCCCTGACATTTGAAGATTTAGTCATGGTGCAAATGTGACACTACAATTAATATGATTAATTGTTCGAGGAAAGTTCGATGGAGCACAAGAGTTTGAATAGGTTTGGCCGAT